GGGATTATTGAAGTTGAAGAACGCATCAAATGTTCATAAAACATGTAATCAGATCTTCTCAAACTTCTCTCATTTGAATGAAAACAATTAAAATTTATTCATATTTATCATGCCGTAATAAAAATTTAATCACATACTGTATTTATGTCGTGTGAGTTAGTAGTGATTTGATACAGTTGGAGTATATTTTTCAGAAATATATCGTTTTAATTTTTCTTCTTCGAATTTATTTAATTTTTCTATCATATCATCAAGAACGTTACAAATATCACGAAGTAAATACAGTAGAGCGTCGCTTATCCGATAGTCGGTTATCCGAAAGCATTCCAGTCGGCAAATTTAAATTTTCGCTAGTGCCGTGGCGCAGCAATCTTTGGCTATATCTTGGGCTACTCCAATATTTTTTTGTTGTTGTGTGTGTTTTAGCTGGCAGCACTGGCACTTTTGTGTGGTGTTTTTCTGAGGACTGTGTGTCATGCTGAATCAAACGTTTTTGATACTAGATTAACTTCTAAAGTATAATTTTTTTTTTGTTTTTATATTTTTCAATATATTTATTTTGTTTGTAAAATATAAAGAAATAATTTTTAACAATACAATAGCCATGATTATTATTTTAAAAAGTTTACATTAGGCTTAACATCGACGAAAATTCAACGCGCAACAGAGAAAAATTTCAACATAGAATAGGTTAATATATTTTTTCGTACATAATCGGTTATCCAAAAAATAAGTTATCTGAACAACCTCAGTCCCCAATTAATTCGGATAAATGACGCTCTACTGTAGCATAAATATAATGTTTTCGAAAAATTATTTTAAAACATTGCATAAAACTATATCCAGATATTTTACATATGCAGGTAATAAAAATCAGGTATTAGGTACAAAAATGTCTCCACCACTCAAAACTATTAAAGTGTTATTTTCAAAGATAAAATAAACATATAGAATTAAAGAAGCAAAATAAAAAATTTATTTAAGAATTAAAATTAATGGCTTACCCAATTTTCACTACCAGGTTTCAGTTCAAACAAGAAAATTGATACAAGTTCTGATGTTCCCTAATTTAAAATATAAATTCAAGAATTATTTCAATAAATCGTAATTTAATTAGGACGACAATAGAATAATCAATAATTTTTATTATATAATATATTCTTCTTTAATTAGAATGAAAAGAACATACTTTTTTCTTGCCTTTATACAACTGCCATATTGATTTATCATCAAAACCATTAACTTTTTCTCCAATATCATATGCAAAATCTTTTACAGGATCTCTTGAAAAAAACGACCACATGTCACCTGTAATTAAAATTATACACAATATAAGAGAAGAGATTCTTTCTTTTATTATAATTTTAAATATTTATATTTACCTGACAGTTATTTTTAAATTTGAATTAAAATTCTTAAATGAAATAAAAACAATTCTTATTTTAATTTTTCATTCATTAAAATTTGAATTTTCTACAGTAAATCAATGTTTTTTGCCTGTAATAAAAAATGTTTCCTATTACAGGATTAATTTTATTTCAATAGACAACTTTGTATTCAAATCCTGGGTTGTGAAAATAAATATTTTTCTATGTAAATATAAACTGTTTTCTGTTCTCCATGATCAAAATGTGCTTGATTTATAAGAGCTAAAATTAGCTGGTCATGTGTTATCTGATTCTGGTGTCATGCATGCATTTCTGGTGGCATGTAATATTGTAACACAATGTAAGTTTACATAGCAATAAATAGGAAATCTAAAAGATACATTGTGAGTAGTACATTTATTTCCCATTGTGGATATTACTGGGTTCTAGGAGCCAATTTTCCCTTTTTCCTGACCAACTTTTCTTCAAATTCAGGAACAGCAAAATGAAAAAAATTCCCAAGAACAAGAAGGAATTTCCATCTGGAAACCCTATATTTGTTTGATTATTACACGACTACAAAACTTACATTAATAAAAACTACTACAAAAATTTAAATAAAATTGAAAGCATTAAGTAAACAATTTACATCCTATACATTATAATGACTCAGGAAACACTATAAAACATAAAAACCTAATATAATTGTTCCAAGTAGCTGAGCTGAAGTGCATTGCAGCAAGGCCCATTTTTGAAATGAAATTGCATCTATAATAATAATAATGAATACACACAGTATGTCAGATATATTTTCATTTATCTGTTATTGAAATGAAAGCATTCAAATAAATACTACTTAAGAATTAAGCAATTGAACCATAAACAATTTTTAGATTAAGAGTAATAAAGGAACACATTTTAAAATAATACAAATAATGACAATAATTACTAGCAAACATATATAGTACAGTCCCAATAATTCAACATGGATTCAACTGATACTACCTTGAATTACAAAAAACTGAAAATATGAACCAGAGCTAAGCTCAGATGTGAGCTGGAGTTCTGGATTCCAGCTGACAACTGAGCCATACCTCAGCTCTGCTCATTTGGTAGAACTCTAATTGGGCTGCAATTTGAAAAAATTGTAGACTTATAAATTCCCACTGTCATCCATCTTTCTGTCTATCTTTCTTTAATCTCGAGAATGGAGTCAGATAGATGAAAGATGAGACAGGAAGAATACCCCGATTACCTATATACAGTAAAACCTCACTTAACATTGATTCGATATAATGCTGTCTGCTTGAAGCCTAAAAAAAAGCTCAAAATTTACACTGATTTAAATTATCTAAGCATTTTATTGATTCGTACATAATACAATTATTTATGAACACAATCCAATCAGAAAAAGGTGGCAAAAAGGTATGCTTTCTTTAAATCTATGTTTGTTTGGTGCAATTTTGGAAAAAATATAACATCATGAATGCCATAGGCAATATCAACTTCACTTGGCAAGAATTAACTGATAAATGCACAAACGAAATGTGGAAGAAGTTATGGCTGAAGGTATCCAAAAATTCTCAACAAGAAGAGCCTCTCATTATATCGTTAGGTTGATCAAACTCGATCTAATTGATACAGCAGGACTAGGAGATGTAGACGAACAGGATATTGAGGAGTTACTGCAGGTTTCTGGTGAGAGTCTTATCAACGACAACCTTCAAGAACTGGCAGAACAAGGAATCCACGTAGAACTGGAAAATATTGATTCTGAAAACGAAGAACCCAAAAAATTTCTCTACAGATTTTCTTCAGTAAATCAATGTTTTTTGCCTGTAATAAAAAATGTTTCCTATTACAGGATTAATTTTATTTCAATAGACAACTTTGTAGTCAAATCCTGGGTTGTGAAAATAAATATTTTTGTATGTAAATACAAACTGTTTTCTGTTCTCCATGATCAAATGTGCTTGATTTATAAGAGCTAAAATTAGCTGGTCATGTGTTACCTGATTCTGGTGTCATGCATGCATTTCTGGTGGCATGTAATATTGTAACACAATGTAAGTTTACATAGCAATAAATAGGAAATCTAAAAGATACATTGTGAGTAGTACATTTATTTCCCATTGTGGATATTACTGGGTTCTAGGAGCCAATTTTCCCTTTTTCCTGACCAACTTTTCTTCAAATTCAGGAACAGCAAAATGAAAAAAATTCCCAAGAACAAGAAGGAATTTCCATCTGGAAACCCTATATTTGTTTGATTATTACACGACTACAAAACTTACATTAATAAAAACTACTACAAAAATTTAAATAAAATTGAAAGCATTAAGTAAACAATTTACATCCTATACATTATAATGACTCAGGAAACACTATAAAACATAAAAACCTAATATAATTGTTCCAAGTAGCTGAGCTGAAGTGCATTGCAGCAAGGCCCATTTTTGAAATGAAATTGCATCTATAATAATAATAATGAATACACACAGTATGTCAGATATATTTTCATTTATCTGTTATTGAAATGAAAGCATTCAAATAAATACTACTTAAGAATTAAGCAATTGAACCATAAACAATTTTTAGATTAAGAGTAATAAAGGAACACATTTTAAAATAATACAAATAATGACAATAATTACTAGCAAACATATATAGTACAGTCCCAATAATTCAACATGGATTCAACTGATACTACCTTGAATTACAAAAAACTGAAAATATGAACCAGAGCTAAGCTCAGATGTGAGCTGGAGTTCTGGATTCCAGCTGACAACTGAGCCATACCTCAGCTCTGCTCATTTGGTAGAACTCTAATTGGGCTGCAATTTGAAAAAATTGTAGACTTATAAATTCCCACTGTCATCCATCTTTCTGTCTATCTTTCTTTAATCTCGAGAATGGAGTCAGATAGATGAAAGATGAGACAGGAAGAATACCCCGATTACCTATATACAGTAAAACCTCACTTAACATTGATTCGATATAATGCTGTCTGCTTGAAGCCTAAAAAAAAGCTCAAAATTTACACTGATTTAAATTATCTAAGCATTTTATTGATTCGTACATAATACAATTATTTATGAACACAATCCAATCAGAAAAAGGTGGCAAAAAGGTGTGCTTTCTTTAAATCTATGTTTGTTTGGTGCAATTTTGGAAAAAATATAACATCATGAATGCCATAGGCAATATCAACTTCACTTGGCAAGAATTAACTGATAAATGCACAAACGAAATGTGGAAGAAGTTATGGCTGAAGGTATCCAAAAATTCTCAACAAGAAGAGCCTCTCATTATATCGTTAGGTTGATCAAACTCGATCTAATTGATACAGCAGGACTAGGAGATGTAGACGAACAGGATATTGAGGAGTTACCGCAGGTTTCTGGTGAGAGTCTTATCAACGACAACCTTCAAGAACTGGCAGAACAAGGAATCCACGTAGAACTGGAAAATATTGATTCTGAAAACGAAGAACCCAAAAAATTTCTCTACAGATTTCCTTAGTAAAAGTTTGGTAATGATAACTGAAATCGTTGATAAAATTGTAGCAAATGATCTAGATTTTGAAAGGAGTGCAAAAGTAAAATGAAGCATTTTGAATGCAATCTTCTGCTACCGACATTTGCTTAAGGAGAAAAAAAAGCAACAAATGAAACTTCATGACTTTATTGCAAAAAAACAAGATTTTCAGAAAAGTCAGTACCTTCGTCACAAAAAATGAACTAATTAATATATTATTATACATTTCTGCGTGCATATGTTTACGTGTTATTTAACATATATTATTATACAAATTAATATAAAAATAACTTAAAATTAAAGTAAAATTTTTTTATTTTCGCTTGCATGTTCCCCTATCCCTATTTACTCTATGTTAAAATGACTTCGTTTAATGTTGTTTCATTTAGTGCTTTGTCATCTAGAAACGTATTCCCCACATTAAGCAGGGTCTTACTGTATTTCTATAAAATAAAGAGTAGCGATTGCAAGGAACTGAATAATTTCAACTATTGGTATTTCTTATATGTAGGGGGTTAAATAATGGATATTTTTCTGGATATGCAGAAAATCCATTGTTCTCAATATAGTGGGTTCTCAGAACAATGGATAATTCTCAGCAGCCTGAGCAATCCATTAAAATGAGATTCTACTGTAATTCTATAAGATAAAGATGTACTTACTTTTACTGATAAATTCCTATAACTATTAAAATAAATTCCTGGTACATTTTTATAATGAAATTTACTTAAAAATCAGACAATTTATAAGAAACTAATTTACATTTGATTAATCTAAATCTGAACACTTAAAATAGATGTTATTGTGAAGTGAATAAATACTGTATATATAATTTACTTTTTTACAGTACAGTAGGGTCTTGTTTTATGCAGAATTGTTATATGGGGTGGACAAGAAGACCATAAAAATTTTAAACATTCATAAAAATGGAAGAATTACTGAAAAGAAATGCAGTTTGTGTGGTAAGTATTATCAGCATGGGAATTTTATTGATGGGAAAAAATTAGTTCAAAAAATCATCTATAGATGGCATTGACATACAAAAGACGATGAATAGATGTACAAACAACAATGAAAATGACTTTCAATATGATTTCTGATTGTGGGAATATTTAAATTTCTGAATATTTTGAACAGATCCTTCCACATTGTTGGAACTGAAAAATGCTGTTTGCTATGAGGTAACATCCATCCATCCAGACATGCTGCACTCTGCAGGTATGGATGTAGTTTCTTGGCTAAATTGTATCATATCCTATGGTGGAGGCCATGTCAAACACTTGTCTAATAAACGCATTGGAAGTTATTGTCATTTATTGCATTTCTTTTGTATGTCAACACCATCAATCAGTGATTTCTGGAACTAATGTTTTTTCCATGAACAAAAACCTCTTATTGCTAATGATACTTACTACACAAGTTACATTTCATTCTGATAATTCTTCCACTTTTTATGAATGTTTAAAGTTTTAATGGACTGCCTATACATAAAATGATGTTTTTGCAGATGGCAAATAGTTATGTTAATTTGACTCTTAAGTTAGTAAGCCATATTTCTCTACCTTCTAATATTCCAAATATGGAGATCTATTAAATGCTACTCACAGTGGTGAATACCTTGGTTTGTATGTATTTTTCTCCAATCTAATCATTTTTATATTTCTCCAATAGTGTACTCAAACAATAAACCAAGCTTGAATTACCTCTTGAATTATCATCTGATTATAAACAGAAAACCAATAATGAATCCAGCATTCACATTCACAATAATTGGATTCATAGTTGTAATAAGTTACACTACACCTTTATTTCAACAATTAATTTTTATCAATGCTGATGTTTTCAACCTTATTTAAAGTTTTTTCTTCAAGCTAATAAAACTTTCAACACATTCTATTAACCAGAAGAAAAAACTTTAAATAAGGTTAAAAACAACAGCATTGATAAAAATTAATTGCTGGAGTAAAGGTTTTGTGTAACTTAATGTAAATCCAGCATTATTTGATTGTTAGTAGTGTACTTGTTGCCCACCAGTGGCCAAGTGGTCTTCGTACCCTAAACACTGGGAGTTCGGTCGTGGGTTTGCGTTGCGATCGGACAGGCTGGCTGCTTGGAGTTTTCCGGGTTTTCTCCTTGCCAATATTGACTAAATAGGAGGCCAGTTCTCCATACAAGTCCTCCCAGAAGGCATTAGTTCCCCTCGCGTAACATTGCGCCCCAGAGAAGGCAACGGGAAACCACTCTGGGTACTAACTTTCCCTAGTAACACCTTGGCATATTTACTAACTACTTACTAATCTGCTCCGGGTGTGGCCGAGGTCGGGAAAATCTGATATGGCACTATGAGATGAGAGTGTACTTGTTACATTATAATAATATCCCAAATGGTTCCAGATGATCATTTAGAATGAAAACAAATTTACATAGAAAATTGTTTTATTTGTCTTACCTGCTGAGAGACAGTTCTCATGTAGAATACGACTATATGTAATAAACAAAATAGAAAAACAGATTTAAAAATTTTTGATTTTTAAATCTGTTTTTTTATCTTATCTTATCTTTTTATCTTACATTTAAAAATCTTTGATTTTTAAATCTGTTTTTCTATTTTGTTTATTAATTTTTTATATGATAACCTTTAACTGATATTTTTGTAAAATTTAAAATTCTAATTACAATTTTGATAAACTGTAAAATTTACATGTGATGTGAATTTTACAAAAACAGTTAAACATTAAAAATAGTTAAACTTCATTAAATTAACAATTTTGGCAATTTCTTAGTTAACCATCTTCAATTTCATATTCTAAACATGCATTTGAATGTCCTAAAGAATTACAATTTCAAAAGTAATATATTTAAAATAAGAATATAAGATGTATAAAATATTTTAAAGTTTATTATTTAACAAAATCAAAATTTAAAACAAACTCAAAAGTTTTTTTAAAATATCAATGATATACTAAATGCATAATGTATAAATTTCATATCAAATAAAAACAAGTAAAGTAGTATAAAATATTAATATATAGTATCATCATCAATTCTTAGAAATCCAATGATAAAAGAAAACTGCATTAAATATATGAATATGATCAATGCAGTAGTCATAGCAATTTTTTAATCAATTAGTTTGCCTATTTTTTTTTTTTCCTCTCTCTTTTTGCCTATGGGCACTGATGCAACCTTTTTATCAAGCCAAGTTAATTTGGCCAGGCCCACAATGGGGCAGCTACGTAACGAGGGATGGAGTCAAACATACCCAGGACAACCACTCCCAGAAAAATTCGTAGTGTTTTCTTGACCCATGTAGATTCATTCCTGGCTCCGCTAGAGCAGTATACCGACAATTTAATCACTCAAGATTATAGTCAATTTGTTTAAAAAGCTACAGCTGTTTTAACACTTGTGTTATATCTTTTAAATGTACCGTCGATAAATAAGTATCTGGAAAACATTAGTAGTGTACCTACCAGCATTACAAAATAAGTACATTTAAAAGAAATGATATGGTTTTTTATATATGTAGAAAAGATGACAATTAGAGATAAGTATTTGAATAGATAACATTCAATATGTAATATATGGTAATTGTTCACATTCTATTGAGTTATACTTCATTTTGTTGTGTTTACTCTTTAGCTATTCAATAAAATGGTCATGGAATGTTGTATTTATCAGAATATATTATCAATTAGCCATTAAAAAATAAAAGATAATTTAATGTCATCCATATGACTTCATTAATTTAACACAATTTGGATATAACTTTAATAAGATTATTTGTGCTATTAAATCTATTAATACAACGTATTTATTATTTTAAAAAATCAGAGAAATTAAAATAATACATATAATTAATTTATAGCAACGTCAACTTACTTTAAAAAATAATTTCTCTCTACCGTCTACTATAAACAGTCATAAACATCTGAAAATTGTTCAACCAAACGTTAGTGTTGATGACGCCCTCTAAACATTCAAAAAATGAAAATTAAGGTATTTATTAAATTTAACAATTATAATTCATTTATTAAAGATTATTAATGGCTAATGAATATATAGTTTAAAAATAATATATATATATATATAATCATGATTTTTTAAATCAAATAAAAATGTTTCAAATTTTCTTTTTGATGATTCATTTAAAAACGATAATTGAAATAATTTCATTTTCTGAAATCTCTTTTAATGTTTAAAAATGTTTCTTCGGCAAGTAACAAGAAAAATTTCATAAATATCAAAAATTTTATGTACTAAGTCCTGTTAGCCGTGTATATACTATATAAGGGAGAGCGGGGTTGAGGTTTGTTTGTTTGTTTTGTTAAATTACGGCAACGCAACACATGGGCAATCTGCCAAGGGGATGCCTTTTGGGAGGTCTTTTTAAGAGTAACTGGTCCCTTTTCAGGCGTTACAGGCATGGAGAAAACCCGGAAAACTCCACGTGGCCAGCCCGTCCTGGCGAGGCGCAAACCGAAGACCGAACTACCAGTGTTTAGAGAACGGAACCGCTTGGCCACTGATGGGTCAGGTACAGAGGTTAACTGGTCCGTTGCTTTCCATTAGTTCTCATATTTAAATTTTCTTTATCTGTTCACTGTCATTGATTTCAACTAGAAGGCCCAAGTCACAGATGTAATATGGCCGCCATTAGACATACTGAGTAGATGCTATTGGAGAATAATGGAAATCTGCAATAAGTGTAAAATTTTAGTTCATCTTGACTTGCTATTTTCGAGCGTTATTTCTTGAGGAAACGTAGATACTGTTAGTGCTAAATTTATTTCTGGTATTTGTGTTTAATTATGCTCTGATAACTGAATATGAGATAAACGCACCAATGTTTTTGGGACACACATTTCTTTGCGGAAAATTATAGTGGGGTTAAGAAAGTATCGTTCAGAAATGAAAAAAATCCGAGTGGCAAGTCCTATATGCTACCTGTCGCAGTAATTGAGTGGATGTTATATACATTTTTAAAAACTATATCTTTTTTTTGTAAGAGTTATATTTACTTTATCATTTTGTTAAATTTTTTTGCGATAGATGGCGCTACGTGTAAATCAGCAAATTAAATGTTGATAGAAATTAGTTGATTTACAAAAATTCAATAAATATTTTGGGGTGGAATGTACGACATTATCTAAGTTAGGAGTATGTGTATGTAACCTACGAGATTCGTAGCAATTGTTCGAACGGCCTAGGAATGTATAGCGAACAAACAAACATCTTCATATATATATTACAAAGAAAAGATTATCTGTCATGAATTTTCAATTTAAGTGTAATCGTGACTTTACAATGAATACTGACAAGAACTTTTACAAAAACAAATTCAATTTTTCGCAAGCAAACATTCAATGGGCTCAGTGGCCAAGTGGTATGGCGTCAGTCTTGTAAACATTAAGATTTCAGGGTTCGAACTTCTACTGAGTCTCGTAAATATAATTAATCTTTTGTACATTGTTCGAGTTTTGGTTAAAATAAGTCATTGTAACGATGTTTAACATTAAACTTTTACATAAGCGAGATTGCAGCCGAAGTTTAGATTAATCGTCGTTTGAATATGTGTTTCAGAATCGGGACCGTTCTACGTTCTAAGGAAAGAATGAAATCAAAAATATTTTTATACAGTAATTAATTTATTTCGGATAGAGAAATTATATATTCAATTAAAATTTTATATTATTTAGAATTAAAAATAATTGTAAAATCGTTGACTAATTGACGAAAGATGTGTTTCTAACGAATGGTATAAATTTTGCTTCAATTTTCAGCGTGGGAACTTTCTTTAGAAGTGTTTTTTGCTTTCTCTCTTTTTGTTCGTATTGCCCAGATCCACCTGTTATAGAAAAAAAAGAAATGGTTACTTAATATAAAGTACCCGTATTCATCTATTTTTATGCTGTAAAGAATCCGTGCGTCATTAAACAGAAAATATTTTTAGGTTCGGCGCAGAAGCAAAGAAATAGTTTTAGCTATAGTGAAGAGAATACCGACAATTACATTTGATTATTAGAATTTTAAATTAATGAATAATTTTTTTACATCGTAAGAATAAAAAGTATATATGAATTTCGATAACTTTTCACAAATATTTTCCAGTAATTTGATATTTTAAATACAATTAAATCTATTTTTATATCTGAAATCATTAATGATTTTTAGATAATTCAACATTTATTGTTATCTATATATATATCACTTTCAACCACTTTCAACCCCATATCTCCCACACCCTTATAGCTATCGAGACGCAACCACCATAGTGCACGATGAGAGACTTGGGGCTACTACCACACATAAACACCATTCATGTGTGATGTGTAGTTTCGGCTGCAGAGTGAAATATAGGCACACACACGTCCATATATATATATATGGGCGTGTGTGTGCCAGAGTGAAATATAGGCACACACACGAAACTACACATCGCATGAATGGTGTTTGTGTGTGGTAGTAGCCCCAAGTCTCCCATCGTGCACTATGGTGGTTGAGTCTCGATAGCTATAAGGGTGTGAGAGATATGGGGTTGAAAATGGTTGACTTCTAAAATGTGTAACAATGGAAGTGTCAACAATGGAAGTGTTAACAATGAAAGTGTTATTAATTAACAATGGAAGTGTTGATTAACAAAGGAAGTATTAAGAGAAAGCAGCTGCAAGATTTACAGGCACAGATGCGGTTTTTGCGGGAAATCGAACATATTTTTAGATCCATGTAAAAATTCTCTAATTAGTCTGGAAACGGGGGACCTAATTCTTGCATTCTGTGAAAACGGGTAAGATTGGCTGTAATGTAATCTTAATCTTAATCTTAAATGTTTTGGAATAGTCGAGCACCGTTATGTGTGAGTAGTGGGGATGGCTTTTGGAGACGTGACGCACATGCTTCAGTTGATTTTTCATAAGTAAAAGTGTACGAATAACAGAAAAAAGTAGAAAGTGAAAAGTGTATAGTGAAGTGTGAAAAGTAAAAATATAAAAAACAATGCCAAAGCATAAGAAAAAATTTTTGCGATCTCGAATGATATCTCGAAGGCAAAAGATGGCGCAGAGAAATGAAACCACGGAAGAAAGAGAAGTACGTCTAACATTGCTACGAGAAAATTATCAACGAAACAGAAATAATCAGACAGAAGAGCAACTTGAAAATTATAGGGAAACACACAGAATCAGAGAAAGATTATGTAGAAAAAGAGAAACAGTCTTTTATATATATATACTGTATAAACTATATTGCATATCAGTCTTTTATATATATATACTGTATAAACTATATTGCATATAAATGTACGAACAAATAAAAACCCAGAGAAGCGGGTACTCGCAGCTAGTATATTATACAGTAATACATTTCTTTCATCTAAAACTCCGCTTTCGAATACAAAATTTCAAAATAAATAATTGAAATATATTATTTCATGTAAAGATAAATGTAATTAAAGAGTGAATGTTTATTATCTGAGATTTAAAAAAAATTAGGTTCTTATACACAAGTATAAACAGACATATACCAACCAGGACTTGGATTCAAATTTACTTCTTCTATTTCAGAAATGTATGATGAAATCTCAAGGTGTTGAGAATAAATCCTTTAGCATAATTTCATATACAGGATGATTCATTGGTGCATTCAGTAGTTTTTCTCGAAAGTCGTTGGAGATATGAAAATGGGACTAATTACCAAGTTTATAGAGCAGACAGGGGGGGCAATTTTGGTGACCTTGGATGATCGAAAATCAACGGTTTTTGAGATACAGAACAAAATAGTTTTTTAAATTTTAAGGTGTTTTTGAGCCATTATATGAATTGCAAAAGATAAAACAAACACCTTTTGTAATATGTCACATTTTCTTAAACCCAACTGTTTTTAAGATTCCGGCTAGTTTCTGCTAAAAATCTGATCTCTTTTTCCCTATGCTGAGAACTAAGTTAATCAGTTTTCGTTCTTTATCATATCGTATCAGATAGTTGAACAAGTAGCCTTTGAATAAATTGAATTGTTACTTTTTCAAAGGCACGAAGTATCTTTTTTGGAGTGATCTTTTCCATTTTTCTGTATTTACTTGTTTCCTTTATTTTCATGAAAACGAATTATTCAAATGGAGAAGCATTTGATATGTTGATGGGCTTTAAGTATGCCACTAAAATTATTCACGACATGGAAATCTTTGTCAGTCTTTATGGAGACGAATGAATGAAATGCGTCCTTCTACTGAAAACATAAAAATCAGAATTTCGGAAAGTTTTCGTAAGATTAGTAGAGGTAAATTACGAAATGTATTAAATGTCTTCCCTAGAAGCATAAATGCCTGTATGCCTGTTATTTTTTAAACTCTTTCCGCCCTGTGGGCACCAAGAGGGCCTCTTTTAGCAAGCCCATTATGGATTCAGGACAGGATCCGACATATCCAGACGGACTACCCCCCCGAAAAATTCCTGGGATTTTTCGACCCGTCCGGATTTTAACCCGGGTCCTCCAGAGGGTAGGTAGAGTATTTGGTACAGATGACATGACACTTCAGGGCAAATGTAGAAAGCTCAATTTCATTCTCCCAAGTGATTATAATACGTTTTTAAAAAACTTAAAGCCATAAATATATGAATTGAACAATTTCGATACTAGTAGGCCTATATAAATTTCAATTACCTTATAACATGTTTAATTATAAATTTAAATAATGATATTTCGATTTATTATTAACTCACTTTGAGCATTAATATCGAAATATACACGAATTTATAAATTTTATACTTTGTTCACACAAGCATCACGAAGTCATTGACCCATTTCCAGCGCCAAAGAAAGGAAACAAACTCATTTTATGACGCAAAACAGCATCATTAATTCAATGTTTTCGTTGTTTATAAATATAAAATACTGTTATACTATTTTTAAATCAAGGAAAATATGAATACAAGTTATTTTGTTACTTATTTTCAGTATTGAAAATAAAACAAGAAACAAAAAAATCAAAACAATTAATCTTCTAACAAAAATGTATCGAGTCTTATCTTCTGAACAAATCTGCATATATTAATATATAATGTATTTAGAACTTCAAATTTTGAGCATTCATCCATTGAAATAATGTATGGAACTTCAGTGTAAGTTTGAGTAGTTTTCTGAATTTTGTAAAAACAAATCTATGTAAATAAAAAAAAATTTTTGTCAAAAAAATAAACAATAAGTGTCAAAAATTCTTTAAAAAAATACTCGTAGTACGCGAAGATTTGTTTGTTTATATTAATATCAGTTTTCGCTTAAACTTCCTGATTGATGAGGAAAAGTCTGAAAACTGCTGCTAAATACTTACAGTATATTTCGAATCTAAAAATATACTGTAATGATAAAAACGTTTTCTAATGAGAAGTAACAACGAAGAAAGAAAAAGAAAACGGTAACAAGTCAGCGAACTGCTTTACCCAGAAAAACGAAGCATTGCAGATTTACAAAAAGTTACATTTACTATGTTTGTATTAGAAAATTCTCTTAAAGGCATCTAATTAGGCTTTCCCCAGAATAACGTTTTCTTTGGAATTTTTTAAATGAAAAGAATCCGTTAAATTTTGTGGGCAGTCAAAAATTTAAATGATTTATACTGATTGAATTTTTAAAATGGTTGATAACACTTGTATTTAATAATCTGTAAATTTGTCAACAACAAAAATATGTTATAAGATAAGATAATTACAATAAGTTCATATCATTTTGAGATTACTGCTTATTATAATTAACATAATTTTATCTTGAAATGCAATAATAAATTATAACAATCTTCAAATTAACAAAAGTATTTGTTTGCAAAAATAGATGACAATGTTTAATACAAGCTATTGTGCAAAAGCATTAATTTCCTACAAAATTAAATTGTCTTATAAATGAAAAAAGATTAAATTAACATAGTAAAATTTTAGCTGAATGTTTTTGAAAATTTTATTTCAAACAACAAAAGTCATATCAAATTAAACATAAATCATGACTGTTTAGTCATTTTAGTGAATCATATTTGCTTTCTTACTGAGCAACATGTTTTGCTAAATATGGCATACTTAATCTGTAATTTATTTTGATAAATTCAATATTGTTTTTAAATATTCCTGTTGAATGGCTAGAGCATATTTATTAACTTTTGTCAAAAAAATTATATATATATATATATATATTTACTTAACTTCTGAATATTTTTTTCCATCTTCAAAGATAAAAAACTAGAAATAGAAAGTGGGACAAAAGTTTATTCCAGAATTTTTATAAATACATTACTGTAATACAGTTTAATAAGATCTCAGAATGTTGAGATTTGTCATAGAATACAATTATTTGAAATCATATTCACAAAATTCCATACATACTATTTTAAGATTAACAAAAATAATCTGAAATGTCACATGGAACAGTTGCTTATTGAATGTAAGACATTCAAATTTAACTGTTAATAACTTACCTTTGACAACAAACATTTAGTGATTAAATTTAAAAATTATACTATATAAATTGCTCTAAGAAAAACATTTTAGTTTTATATTTCAACTAAATTTATAACAAAGTTAAGGAACAAATCAAATCTTTGGATTAAGTTTTTGTAGAATACAAATAAATTTTTAATTTCATCAATAGATTTCATAGACACCATGGCTTCAACTTACCATAGTAGTATATCAAGCATAATATATATAATATATTAACTATATTTTAATTTCTGTAAACTATTATAATTGAGTTCTATTATAGTCGACTAGATATTATTAACATGAGTAACAACTTCTTAGTTTAATATTTAAATCTGAGTATATGGAACATTCTGTAGTCAGCTCATTCAACAGTGCAGACAATTAGAATTTATTTTATACTATATAGTAGTATTGTAAACAATTTACAGAATATAAAAATTAAATCCAAGTAAACATTTCATATATTTTTATATAATCTAAAAATACTACATTTCATGCAAATTGTTGACTTAAATACATATATTTTTCTATTGATCAGTTTCATTCTAATAAAGTATTCACATCTTGATTAAAATTAAAATCACATGTAAAAAGTACTTCACAAAGACAAATTTGTATAAATTTATAAGGCTAAATTTACTATAAATTATTTTTCCATTCAAATAGCAGCAATATATACAAAATAAATTTGTGTAAATCAGAAAAAACAGCAAAATTTTTTCCATCCCCTTTTTTTCCCTAAATTAAGACCTACTGTAGTCATTAATTTATTATCACATGACACTTTTTGTGGTGTATTATCCTGCATGGCAGTGTCAGATTTCTGATACCTCAGAGCTGTTAGAAGAGCTGTATCAAATACTTCTTTAAGATTTTTTTGGGTTAAAGCTGAACATTCGATGTAAGTTACTGCATCAATCTGTTGAGCTAATTGTTTCGCTTCGGATTCTCTGACAGGTTGTTTGTTATAATTGGCAAGTTCTATTAATACTTTGACATCATTGCGCAGATCACATTGAGTACCAATGAGCAATATTGGCGACGTAGGACAATATCTACGTATTTCTGGAAGCCATTTTTTTGTTACGTTGAAAAATGACGTAGGACACACTATATTAAAACACAATAAAAAAACATGTGTCTGTGGATAGCACAGAGTACGAAGTGAATTAAAATCATCCTGAAAATAAAAAAAAAAAACAATTTTTAAAACATATCTAACAAAAACTCAATTGTGATAGTAATGAGTTATAAATAAACAAGTAAAACTAATTATGTTTACATATTCTAAAACCAAATGACCATCTGCTTTCTAATGTATAAACTATAAATGTCAAATTTGTGAAAGTTACTTTCTGCATTTTCAACACCTCTATCAAAATTAACAAACAATACTTATAAACCGTTAGAACATAACTTTTTTTTCTTCAAAACACATTATCAATTTATCAATAACCATTTAAATAATTGATAATTTGATAACTTACTGTAAACTCAGAAATAACACCAATTCATAAAAAGTTTTATCTACCATTAAAAATACTTTTATTATTTCTTCCAAATTGTGATTATTATATTCAGGTAACCCATGTATAATACAGCATTTCTATAGCACGGATTCACTCTAACACGGTTCGAGAATTGGGAACATCCCCATATAATATGGTGCTTTTATAGCACAGGTTCACTGTAACACGGTTCGGTAATTGGGTAAAAACCTTTGTACAACATAAAATGTAATAAAGGGTGTGTTCTTTTATACCTCCGCGCGAGCATTCTAATTGTTTTCATGGCTACTTTGAATGCTCTTTCAACAAATAATCCATTTAATGGTTAAATTTTACAATTGAGACCCTTCTTTTGCCTCTAAAAGCTCATTTTAGAATTATAGATTCCTCCACACGATACTATCGATAGTGCAGGCGCCGCCATCTTTCTTTCACCGTCGTTCCTAAATGCCTACAAACAGCAGTGCACTCCTGTTACAGAGTGACTGCTATTAACGAATGCACCCACAAACTGTTACCAGTTCATGATGCTCATGCTGAGATCATCATATAAAATGAATAATCCTCTGGTAAATTATTTACTTAAATAATAAATAAGTATTTTACCTTTGAAAAAAAATGAATAATAAATCCAATTTAAATAAGGATTTAACAACATGTTTTTTTAATTTTTGGAACCTAAACTCCCTTTTCGCACTAGTTCTTTGTTTCGTATAACACGGATTCGCATAACACGGCAATTTTCTGGAATGTAACTCCCATGTTATACGGGGTTACCTGTATTATATTATATTATTATATATATATTTATAGTCCTTGGCCATTTTCACTAATTTTTGTATTAATTGAAATATTTTCAGCATAAGCAAGTTTGTTTATATTTACCATAATTTCCTGTGTATAATCTACAAAAATTGCCAGAACATACAATTTGACAACAGTTGCAGGCTGACTTTAAAACAGGTAAATCGTAGCAAATTATAGTAGTTGCTTAAGTTATTTGCTTAATTATTTCTATTATCTGTAAGTTTTGGAAGTTTATTTTGTTAGCTCTCAGCAGCTTCTCAACTTTCAATTTTAGTGACTAGTTCACATAATCAGATTTACATGATATCAAAATTGGTTAGTAGTTAATTATCATAATAAAAGACTGGATCAGTTAAGACAATTATTATAACTAAAATCTAGATTTTAATCTCAATTGTCTTTACTTTTAAATAACTACAAGTATTTTTCATTTTATTTCTTTTTTTTAATTTCCATAATATAAATAATAGATGTCATTTAATAAAAACTTTCAGCTTCTTCACAACCATCTTCAATTCAACAATCTTAATTTAGATTAAACAAAATACCGAGAAATTCATATACAGAATTTGATTAAATAAATCAAATTTTATAAAGCCTATATCAATAACAGTTCCTTGTATGATTAGTTACTGAAAAAAAAAAAAAAGTCAAATTTTATATTTTGATATAAAATTTACATAATTATAGAATTTGGATCCAACAGAATTTCCTTGCAAGTGTAAATAAAAGTTTATCTGACAATTTCTTAATACTTACAAATGGGTGACAGTAAAAACTTATATCATTTTGAAAATTCATAAGAATTTTACATTCAACTTGCAATAATGATGATAAAAATTCCATAAGATTTTGCCAGTGTTTTGAGATTATTCTTTTGTCTCAAAAGTCTTTTTTTTTTTTAGTTTGCACAATCTTTCTTTAATTTATTAACAAATTTTAAATATAAAATAACATCAGATAAAATTAAACATATCAATAAATATTTTTAATGTTTTCCCATAAATATTTAACATATATTCAGTTATTAAGTGGAGTTTACAATATTTGTGTTTTGTATAGAAAAACTTCTCTTAGTGGAAAGTTTAATCCTAAAACATTTTTAAATGATTAAATAATTTCTAATTTACCAAAGAAAAATAAAGCCATGTAAAAAAAATTAAACAACTTTTTTTTACTATATTAAAAAAACAAAGTAAAAATTAATTCTCTAAATTCAATTGCATGTTTTAAATATATATAAACAATTTACATATAAATTTTTATTAGATCCTTGATCATAAAAATCATTTCTACCCTATCTAAATTTGTATATTTAAGTATTTAGTCTTAAAAATAAAAATTTACTCCATTGTAACCATGTAATTTAAAGCAGAAAAAGAATGCAGGAAGTACATAGCAATTACAATCATTTTGAATCTTTGTGGTTGAATTAGTTTGAAAATTACTACTGATAATGTTATTACTTACATAAATAGCAATTAAATGTTTCTTCCTAAACAATAGAATCCTTGAACTTTCAGAAGTGGACGAGACAATTTAACTTTTATTTAAAAGACCAAATCATCTAACAGTCATATTGTCTACTGAAATATTTAATGATGCCAAACTGATATTGAAAACATGAAATTAGTATCAAATTAAGAATTTGCACAAATATGTTTTTAATTTATAATACTTTTTCTCATACTAATAGATAGTGACAAAAATTTAAAAATCCTTCACGTAAAAACTTGTTTCCATTTAAAATCAATACATAAAATGAAAAATTTTGTAAGCTGTTAATATTCAAAATTCTGCCAAATTTAATACTGAAACACAAGTGCTTCAATCAAACATTCAGAGCTGTGTTCAATAACATGATATTCTTGCTAAATCTAGTTATTCTATGATGCCAGATCCCTTGACTCTGTCTACTACTAGAATTCTTAGTAATTCTGTCTGCATATTTTTTTGTTTTGCATATTATTATTGCATATTGAATGCTTTTTGCATTACTACAGTCAGTGCTACTCATAAATGATATCTGTATGTATTAGTATATATTTCTTTGTTCCTCTCTCTTAATCAGTTAAATGTTTTACTTTAGCATTTTGCATTGAAGCTTTGTAAGCAATCCAATAATTGAACACCTTATAACATGATTACTTCCCTCCCTCCTTCCCTTAAACAATTAGTTCTTTTTCCTATATATTTAATAATGGAGAATATTGAAAAAATTTATTGCAACTGTAAATGTATTTCATAACAATTACTTGCATGTGTATGTTTATACCATAAATTTGTCAAATAAATTGTAACTTAAAATTATTTCAGTTTTAATAAACTAACTTGCTAAAATACTTGTTTCTAAATTTTCCATTTTATATGAATTGTTTGGTACAAGAATACTTAAAAAATTCTAGCTTCAACAAGATAAAAGTGTAATATAGGGTGATCATAATTAAAGAGATGTTTAGAGCTTTTTGTACAAAGAAGTATTGAGTAAATCTCAACCAAATTTGATATACATACTGTCTTAAGTATGTTGTTTCAATTCAATCTCAAAAGAAAAAAAAAAAATTCATGATTCTTCAACAGGAAAATAGTCATGGTGTTCACTTTCTATATATACAAACATCTTGTATAAATAGAAAGTGAGCACCATGAGAGTTGTACGTAATATGCACATTAAGGGGCAGCAATGTCAAATTTCATCTTAGTGGCTGAATTTTGAAGTATATTTTATACCCCATACACCAGTTAAATGTGGAAGTCTTAACCGCAACAACACTTTTTTGCACAGAGTGATTAGCCAGTCATTTCCAATGTCATGGCATCAGTTCCCCTAATAAACAAACCTCCCTGCAAAATTTCAGAAATTTTTGACAAAAAGCACAGAAGTTATTACATACAGGAAAAACCCCCAAATTTTTTGCATTTCTTGATGTTTCAAGGTATCCTGAACCCAAAACTGTAAAAATCTTGGGGGTTATTTTTTGACTGATTGCTATATAGTAATACTTCGACTTACGCAAACCTGGAGTTACGCGATTTTCAAATCTTGTCGATTTGTCTTTTGTTTGAGTGCCACGCAACTCTTGATTACTCACTCCCCCACACTATTCTTCGGCTTACAAGTTCAGACGTGTCGCGCAGAATCGACACATAGCTACAATTTATTTTGTGTTATTTATTTCTGTGTTTATTATATCTACGGAGACTTGAGAGACTATGTGATGATTTCTTGTAACCGTGAATGAATCAAAAGACGAGATAAGATTAACGAGAACGTTTATTAGGTTACATACATCCAACTTGGATTTTACACAAATTGCAAAATTATACCCCGACTTATGCGAATTCGACTTACGTGATTATCGTTCGGTCCCACCTATCGCATAAGTTTGGGGTATTACTGTACTTTTACTCTCGGGAAAATAAAAATGCCTTAATGGAGCAAATCTACCTTTATAATAAATATGATTTCAAGCTGATTCACTCATCAGATAAATTAAAAGAAAAAAACACATTTTGTCTACATATTGCTTTTTGTGCTAACAAACAAAATAAACAAAAATAAATTAACATAAAGTGTTAATAAAGGAAAATAAAGTGTTAATATCATATATTTGTTACAAACCTACTTTTATACACTTCTACTTCCACTAGATAATGTTTCTATTTTTTGTTTTAAAACACATTTTTATGGCATGAAGTTTTAGAGCACCATATCAATTACATAATTACTTGCCATAGTGTAGCATTTAAAATATGCAGTATTCAACTTTACAAATCAAGTCACAATACATAGCAATGTACAGTACTACAGACAGCTGAATGCTAGTATAATACTGTGTATGCAATAAAAGTGTTAGCTTCAGAAGAGTTAGATTCAAGTATAGATCAGAGCCTCAAATATTTTTATAGTTTCACCTGAATATGTTAAACCTCATCCTTCATCATATAGTCAGTCATCTCCACTGTGGGGCTAGCTAAATCAATGATGGCAACATAAAAGATACTCTTAGCTTATATCTTTTCTGCAGAACAGAAATAGTATGAATTAAAAATTAAACAGAATGAAGCTATTCCAAAATGTGATTTTCCACAAATACATGCCTAACAATATTAACAAGACAACTGAATAGAATTTTCCAGAAATTTGAAACAATAAAGTAAAGTACTCGTAAAATTACTAGTAAATTTTTAATGCAGCAGATATTCAAATTGGCCTATGTCAAAAAGAGTATAAACAAAAGGGTAGTTGTATATTAACTTCATAATTCTTACTTCTGTTATTTATCCCCCCTATAAATTTACTAATATTTTTAAATTCATCAATTTCTTACCTGTCCAGCAGTGTCACATAACTGTAAGCAAACAGGCTGATTGTCAACTGTTACTATCACTGCAAATAAAAAGTAAAATATTAAATTACATATTTCCTTTCAATCAATTATAAATAATTAACTAATTAAAAAAAAAAGAAGAAACAAATACAGTGGTACCTCAGGATACAAAATTAATTCGTTCCGAAACTGAGATCATATCATGAAAATGTCGTAAGGTGAATCATTTTTCCCCATACGATTACATGTAAAACCAAATAATTTGTTCCAACACCAAAACACACTCAAATTAAAGCCAAGTAGTGCATTAAAAAAAAATAATAAGTATAGTAAGGAAAACACTGAAAAATGCATTTTGTAGTTGTAAATGTATAAATAACCATAATAGAATAATAATTGATTAAAAAAATGTTGTTTTATTTGCACTTTACCTTTGAGACAGACGACAGTGAAGGTGTAAACTGGTGGCGGAAGAGGGAGAAGGGAAATGATACTAAAAACTTAACTTACATAACATAATGTAACAATAACTTAAAAATAACTTATAAAACAACACTAATTTTTTTATTATTATTTTTTCTTTTTTAATTTTTATTCACTGCTTTTTGTTTTCTTTCCTTCACTTCCACCAGCACTTTCACTGGATAGAGGTCGCTTGGTAAAATATCTATCCAAAGAGGTTTGGCTTTGCCTACTTTTTAAAATGTTTCTAAAATGACTTAGGCAAATGTCATTACTCCGTCCAGCAATACGGCCAGTGTGAACCTTTTTGGAATGTTTCTTTTCAATAAAATCAGTCACTTTCTGATAATACCTCAAGATTTCCTTTATCGAGCGAGATCCTTCCACGACGAAGCAAACACGCGGACTGAGACCAATGATCAGAAATGAATAAAAAGTGACGCTGCGAACTAATGTAACGTCGTATGGTGAGTTTTAGTTCGTATCGTGAAACAAAAATATGTTTGAATTTCATGTCATATCCTGAAAATTTCGTATTCTGGGGCGTTCGTATCCTGAGGTACCACTGTATTCACAAGAACCAGTTTTGTTATGCCATAAAAAATAATGCACTTATATTCTTTCACATTGAGAAAAAAAAAATTTATTCAGTTATGTTGAAAAAAAGATACTTTGTAGATTTAAGATATTCTTCTGTTGTCCAATTCAATTAGAAATTGCATTTAAAAAAGAAATATGATTTATATACAGGGACACCTACATTAAGGTATGTGCCTTCCCCTTTTCATCTGTGTTGCCCTTTTTCTAAACCGCAAGGAAACTCCATATTCCATTATTGATAAACAACAGAAAATTAAACTTCTAGCCTATTTTGCAAATATAAAAAAAAACTTCTTCTCTTTGACCTTAGTCCCACTTGGCAGCGGAGTCGGCACACCTGGATTTTATTTTGAATTACCATTTGGCCCAATTATGGGCCTGGTCTGACTACAGGCCCACGGGTCATGGTATAGAATGTCCAGACAATGCTGCCTTGGGCAGCCCCTCGGGCAAGACCCAGGTATCTTCTGTAGATTCCATCATCCAAATGTAGGCCCATGTGGATGATGGAATCAGTGTCAGCACAGAGCACGTGGCCATAAAGGCGCAGGCAACACTCACATGCTTTCTCACTGATCTCAGCAACGCCATACCAAGCTCTGATGTCAATGTTAGATACTCACTTGAGTCTGGTAATGCCACTCATCCAACGCAGCATCCTGGTCTCCATAGTAACAAGTCAGCAGTCTTCATAGTTGGCCTGTACCCGGCGCCATACAGTATGATAGGCCGGATGACAGTTCGATAAAACTTTGACTTGAGTTGGTCCTTGATGCATCAGTCACACAGCACACTTGTAATTGACTGCCATTTCAGCCATACGGCACTGACGCATGCGACCGCCTCATGGCACAAGTCACCGTCGGCAGAGATCACAGACCCAAGATATTTAAAATGCTCAGCCCATGGATGGCCTACACCATCAACAACAATTGTGCCTTGCTCAGTTGAGTCTGTTGTCAAGTACTCCGTCTTCCTCAGGTTAAGTCAGAGACCGTGTTGTGCAAGGTGATTACACCACATCTGGATGAGCTGCTACAGGTCAATCCTGTCAGTAGAGGCGAGGAGCACATCGTCAGCATACAGTAACATATACAGTACATGTCACTGGATGTCTTGTGTGATGGCATCCATGACAACGATGAAGAGAAACAGGGAGAGAGTGGAGCCCTGGTGAACACCAATGGAGATGTGAATGGTTTCAAGGTCCCAGCGACGCCACAGACACAGACACAGCTCTTGGATTGCAGTAGAGCAACTGCACCCAACTAATGAGTTCCTCAGGAATGTGATGTTGGCAAAGAGTAGCCCAGATAAGCTCATGTGGCACATGATCGAATGCCTTCTCAAGATCAAGAAAGACGATGTGCAGCGGGATCCTCTTCTCATAATGCCTCTCAATGAGGAGTCGAGCAGCGAGGACAGCATCAATTGTGTCACATCCCTTGACAAAGCCAGCCTGGTTTACAGTGAGCTTGACAAGGTTACGAATCCGGCAGTCTAAGATATGCTCAAACAACTTCATAGTGTGCGAAAGAAGTCTGATCGGGCGGTAGTTTGAGCACTCGGCTGGACTGCTTTTCTGTTTCCAGACAGGCACGGTAATAATCTGTTGCCAGTCAGTGGGCATCCTCTTCTCTCTGATGATCAGGTTGAAGAAAGCAGCAAGCCAAGTCAATGGCTTTGAACCTTTCGCCCTTCAAAGATCTACAGCAATGTCATCTGTCCGCATGCCCTGCCAGGCTTCATCCTCTTTAGCACACTTTCGACCTCTTCCTTGGCAATTGGCTGCACAGGTCCAGCCGTGGCAGGGGGTTCCATGATAGGTGGGTGAGGGAACTCCTCAGTGGAAATCTCAAAGTATCCCCGCTATCCCTCCATCACGGCTTGTCTGTTGATGATCAGCTTGCCACATTTGTTGTTGACACAGTGAAATTTCTTGATGACTTGCGTTCACTGGTTACGGCTTTTGGCAAGGCAGCACAGGAGACGCTCACCATCTTGCCCATCAAGTTGCTTGTTGATTGTCTGTAAAAGAAACTAATGAATGATATTTATCCATTGTCCCATGCAACTTCCTTGTATGTTGACCAAAACCTGGCCTTTAAAACAAGTAATATTTCTTGTTTTCATGGGCAAGTTAGCATGATTGCAACAGATGCCATTTTGTGGGAGTGCTGATCTGACATTGAATCACAGTTTGAAGCTTCTTATAAAATGTATGATGCTTTTTTTTATAGCTTGTGTACTCCTTCTGTATAGTCTGCAGGTGCCACTGTTTATATACAATCAAACCTCATGTTTGAATGCCTTGCTTTTATGTCTTATATGCCTTGAATGTCTTATATGCCCTGGTTACTGTACAATAACTTGGTTGCTGAACAAGCTACTCAGCAAAAGTCAGTCATAGATTAGAGAGACACAGATGGTCAATTCCATATACTTCCTGTGTTCAAGAAAGTTGATGGTCCGACCAATCAATGACGAGACTACAACCCCTTGTCAAAAGTATGGATTATTGTTCACTTTATGGTATGTCATTCAATAGAGTTTAGTTTCAAAAAACAGACATTAAATTATTAATTCTTTTTAACAAAATTTATTTGCAGTCTTGTGCACATTAAAACAGAGAAGGGATGAAAGCAATTATATAAAAATTTTAAGAAACAGCATGTTCAACACTTTACCAACATTAGACAAAAATATGGAATGTAGTAATTACAGAGACATATGTATAGAATAAAGTAAATCAATATTGCATAGGACTGCCTTTGGCATTTATTACTGCTTTAATACATCTCGGTATTGAAGCAACTTTTCACATAAGACTGCAGGTATTTCTGCCTAGCTGGTTCGAATAGCACTCTTCAATTCAGACAATGAATCCAGTTTCTTTTTTCAAACCAGTTTCTTCAAACCATTCTGCAAATTCTCTATTGGATTTAAATCTGGCTGTTTGGTGGCCAATCTAAAGGTGAAATATTTTTGTTTTGAAACCATTGGCATACTGTTTTAGCATGGTAAGTAGATGCATTGTCATCTTGATAAAGTCACCAAAGTGTTCCTAAGTTTTTTTTAGCACAAAATTGTTTGAATTTCCAAGTAAACCTCTGCATTCACTGTAATGTTGACAATTTCCAAATGTCCAGATCTTGCTGCAGTCATGGCACATCAAACTGTAACTCCATTTGGAAATTGTTGAAAAAATGTTTTTTCAATTTTATTAGTTTCTTGTTTTACTCATTGTTTTAATTATACAGCTGAGAAATGGAGCTCCCAAAAATATGTAAAGTTACAAGAACTTTTAGTCATGAAGACATTTAAAAAAAATGTAAATAATTTAATCTGGAAAAACCTTTATATTTGGAATTTTATTATTTTATTTAATATTTATTAGGTAATATCAAAAACAATTGAGAACAATTATTCTGGAAAGTGTTAAAAATTATTTATAGAATTTTCTCAAATAAAAAAACCTTAAGATGAAATGCAATATTAATTAATTAGGTAAATATAATTAATCTGATTAGCTTCACTTGCATCTTTCACATCAAATTTCAGATGTGATTTTTTTAATGTAAATTATTGATTTAAATATAAAGACAATCTAAGATCTAATAAAAATTGATATAAATATAAATCATTGCATCTACATATTTATAAATATATAGATGCTGTTCCTGATCAGGCAAATCAGGTTTGTTTTTTAATTAATCATCCTGGTTTGTATTATGTATCAAATATAAGTGTAAAAAATTTTATGTATGATGTATGTTTTTTTATCTTTTTTGACCTTCTTTATATATTAGCTGATAATACAAACCTCAATTAGTTCAGATTAGCAAGAGTATATATATCATAAATGACAATGAATAAAAAATTAGAAAGTTATAATATCAATACATTCATAAACAACTGATTAATTACTTAAACAATAGCACAGACTATAGTCATCTTTATTAAATCAGTAAAAATGCAATTTAATAACTAAGACAAT